CCAAGGCGCACAGACCTAAACAGGAGGACGATTAGAGTCCTCATCCAAAGCCTTTGGTTCAAAAGCCTGTCCGCAATGCAGCTGGAAGGTGGCAAGGATTTAGTTTCACAGAAATGGACTCCATCCCATTTCAAACCTTCAACCTGGAGGACCAGGATACTGAGTCTGTCTGACCTCTCGCCATTGACCAACTTGGTAGGAGTAGCTCTCAAGGTGCCCGGAGACACCACACAGTATAGCTCAATGGGTCAACGAGGTTTACAAACCGTCGCACCACGTTAAGGTCCAGTCTCGTTTTTCTGAATGGACCCTCATGTTTAGCATCCATCTGGTACACGCGTCATCACCACCTTTGATAGAGGGAAGATGCATTCGCCGTCGTCCTTCGCCTCCAACGAGCACAACTCTCGCACGCCTATTCTGATGTACATGTTCGTTTCACTTCCTAATGCATGAACTCGGAAGGGCCCGCTATCTAACTGCGTTTCGGAAGCCTACCATATTTCTTCGCCTATCGCCGTTTGTCACGTTGAACATACGTGCCCTCAATTCGCACCGTTCCACCTCGCGAACATGGCGGTTGGTCCCTTTTGGTTGGAATATGGTCCTGCCGGTGCTCATTCCAGTGTGTTACTGTATTGATCAGCTGTGGACTAAACATTTGTTTGCGAGTAATCGCGTCACTGTATCTTTGGCGTTCGAGATATTAAACCGTGTTGAGACAAGTTAAGGGGAACGAGATGGAATTTATTGCAATCAACACTGAAGTGTTATGGACTGGTTTAGAGGGTTGGGTATTTTGAATAGACTCGTGGCTGCTAGATTCGGGAAGATAGCTACCACACATCTGAAGAAACACTGGATGTCTTTTCGTCTTATTGAGACTCCGCAACAGCGCACACTTTCCTCGAATCTTTCGGAAAGTCATAGCTTTGGGTGCCAGCCCTGTCCTCTGCACTGCAGTGACGTGCATAGCCGTGGAAGATGAGCCGCGCTACAAGGCAACCAATATTCCTTGATGACCGGCCACTTCCTTCTAACCTAACCTGGTGCCATTATCCCCTGGATCTCAGGTGGATTTAAGGAAGATACGCTCTGCGAGTATTAACAAGACGAAACGGCTGTCTGTCGCTCTTCTGAATATCTGTGGGCTTTCTAACCGATCGTGGACATAACAAAGTTCCTCAAAATTGTGATAGAGCCGAACTGAGTAACTACGTTGTAAGCTAGAGATGGGGTGCATTGTCACCATCTCAAATTACGCCCTAACCAACATCACTTTCACTCAGAAATAGGCGCTGTCCATGGATTCTCTTCCTTCATGGGGTTTTGCATTTTTGGGCACTCCTCGTAAACAGACTACGATTTCGGCATTTAACACTGCACCTAAATCATATTATCTAGCTAGGAGACCGCTGCTCGAGTTACATGAACTGCCTACTGAATTACCGATTGGTTTGTTGGATAGCATCACCCAATGGTCCTCACCATCACCCACTGACCCGTATGCACATATGCTCAGAGGCGAATGGTTTCTCAACACGTATAATACGCATACACTGAAGCCTCGTGTAATGTAGCTCTGCACATCTTATCTTTAGTCTAAAGACTGTCCATTCATCTCAAAAATTAGCTTGTCTTCGGGGGCACGATTCCAGTCTTTCCACCGGGAGCACTAGTACTTTTTGGTATCTGACTAACCGTAACTCTGTTGTTTCGCATGCAGATGAGTCGGTCAATGCCTTGATATTTTCACTGACCACTGTTTCAACAACCCAGTCCTGAACGAAGCACGAGGCGCTCTCCACCTGGAGTCTGGGTTCGACCCACTTATCTCAGTCGGTTTACTAAGCTTGTAACTCAGTTGCTATAATCGTACACTTCTATTCCCGGGAGGTATGACAGTCAGGGTGGTCTCGAATCAGTGGAAAGCCTGTCGCGTGCAGCCAGTTGATTTACCTGCGTCTCCTCATGCCTGCCTCCACACTTCGCTTACGCCCTCCTTCACTCGTCTTTTGTGTGTTATGCCTGTGCTTCTTAATTTATCCGCTTTTCGTAGCAATTGGCTTTTTGTGCGCTGCTCATATATTCGTAACAGCGCGCTGGCGCTTCAAATCTGTCCATTTTTAATACACTTCATTCACACCGCCTCCTAAGTCTTTTCGCTCTCTCTTCCACACCCCCATACTCTTTTGAATTTTCGGTTGTTTTTCAGTTTGTACAACAACTTTGGTCTCGATTGTCCTCCGAATCGGCCCTCGTTCGTCGCTCGGTTGCCCACATTTTGACTTCTTCCTGTTTGTACTCCCGTTCCCCCTTCACCCTTCTCCGTACCTTGCTTCACATGATCACATGTAAGTCTGAATCAACCTCCTTTGATCCTGTTACAATCCAACCACAGTCAATACTTTTATGATGGCTGTTTGGCATATCTCTTTAGCAGTTTACCTTCCCCGTCTTGACCTCTGTGCCTCATACGGAGCAGTCTCTTGAATTCCTTGCTTTGATTCCCTACGATGACTCTTCGTATCACTGGTCGTGGCGATGCTTGCACCGGACTCATTGCCTGAATCCTGTTTCCCTGGCGTTTCACCAAAACAGTCATTCTCCTACTAACCATTGAACGATCACTTACCTCGTGCATGTGTATATTCACTTGGCCACGCTTACGTTGTGCTCGAGCGGTCTTTTCATTCCTTCTCTAACCACCAGCTCTGTAATAGGTTCTTTGACGAATCGATTAGTTTCAAATCTTGGGTTCCACCAGAGATGCGCAAGATGCATGAATCCTCGTGGAGTTTTATTCTATTGCAGATTTTGAAGTTACTTAGGTAGTCAAATTGCTTGTCGCTAAATGCGGGTCTCTTTTCGCCACTAGCTCAAGCGGCCTGTCACGAGGGGTTAGCAAACCAATGAGATTGGTTACTGTGATCGACTTAATATTCACGTTGAGAATCCCCGATTCGCAAACCTAGGACTTAAACAGTCCTCTTGATAACGAACCCAATGCTACAACTCACCCTTCACAACAAAATGGCCACGAACCTTATATCGCTCCCCTTTATGCAGTTCGCAAGATTAGCTGGGAGCGATTCCAACAGTTAACCCGACCTTTCGACTGGACTGCATTTTCCCCTCTATCACAGCTGTACTGTTTTGTTAACAGCTTGATCACCAGCTACACCGAGCTACAATTCTATGTGCGCCACAACACGGAAGGGTCATTGACGGAAGTTCTGGACGCACTCCAATGTTCCTGACCCTTGTTACTAATCTGTGCGGCACGTGACTGGATAGATCCAGTGATTCTAGCAACAACAAACTCAGCACTTTCAATCGCGTGATAGTACCTTTCTGATCTGTGTGTGCATGGTATTGCTAATGCTAGCTGGCAGCGCTACGTTCACAATGGAGGACATAGGTGAGTTTTGTTGGGTCTGGTTGATGCGTACTCTGGCTTTTAAAATTTACGCTTTTTATGTTATGCTCATCGTCTTCCAGTCTGTCTTGATGCTTTTTCTCAAGGCATAAGCGTTGGGTTGATTTGAAGGCATCCGCTGCCAAACCACCTCTGTAAGTGATAATCTAGATTGAGACCATGGCTTTCTCACCTCATGGTGCCTCTCTTCTTCACCTTAGGATACTACTGGAGTTTTAGTGATCTTGTAACCCCTTCAAACCACTGTTGTATCCTCTGAAAAGCATCGCAACCAGTGCTTTGTAGCAGTTTTGGAGTGCCAACTATGTGGATTATTGGTTTTGTTTCACAATAACTCCCGATCATTTGGACAGCGTCAAAAGCGGAGAGCGGTTCCCAGGTTGCTCGGGAGGAGTGCAGTTTTGGTCGCGAGCAGCATCGTGAATCGCCCCACGATTTTCAACGTTGTCCGTTTTGAATATTTTTGCACTACACTCTACACTTGCTATACATATACAACTCTTTTTTTACTAGCTCTTGTAGTTTAAGGGTGTCCCAAAGTTGATTCGTGTTTTTTCGCCCCCGAGAGGTTGTGCAGTGGAAAAGCATTTCCATTGGATTCGTTATTGGCGCTACAGTTTCTATACCGATAAATCTGAACGAACCACCTGACAATTTCAGCATAGCGAGCAAGAAAAGCATCATAAGTACGCCGGGGCGGGGCACAGTCGCTCCGTTACCACACGACCACTAACAGTCGCTCGCCTCTTATGGGTACTAAAGGGTCGTTAGCACCTGCACAAATTCGAACTCGTGACTTTTGAGCTACTAGATAAACGCCTCATCCCCCCGTGCACCGGCCGACACAGAGTAGCTGAGAGGCATATGAATGTCGGCCGAACGGTACCACGAATACTAGCCACTGTAGAGACGACGAAGAACGCTACCGCCCAAATGCCGGCGATAACACAGGACGGAAAGCATAATCCACGACTGCATTCAACATACAAGAACAGTCTTCCTATCCCGAACCAAAGTCAAGCATGAGGTGGTACACTCAGATTTATAGCACCTTTAATCCACATGCATAACATACGGGTTTAGCTGCATGCTGATGCTGCTTGCGTATTGCACGAGAGCCGCTCAGAATCACGTGATTTCCAGAAACAAGACTTAAGTACCGCGCGGGCGTACTTTTGAGGGAACACATCATCTTCCCGTGACAGTAGTGGTTAGTCGCATCTCCCTTTCATGCAGAACTCTTGACTAACCATAATCACCTTACAGTGTTGTCAGCTGTAGTCTCCTGTCTCTGGCGTACGCGACGCTACGGTCACGTTGATGACTCTTGTTTCCTCTCTCCACTGCTGCATGTGCTATGGATACTCCATCCTCCGATCTTTCTTTGACTCCATCCATCTCAGCTGAACTCGGTTCGTCTGACCGACCAGCAGATGCTCGATGTGCTGGACTGTTGAACACTCTTCGTTTACTCTCTGTGGCATGGCATCAGCTTCTCACCAAGCGACCTTCCTCCTATGTAACAGAACTTTATCAGAAATCAGGAACTTCCAGACCTGTGAAGTCGGGCACGGTCCTCGTGCCAGCCCAAGGTCAGTTACATTCTTTTCATCTTTCTGCTATGCTTCTTATGCCACCCGTGTTGTGTCGCAACGGTTTAACATCTCAACGGCTTCCTCTGATATGTGTTTGCATTGCACCATGCCACCTGGAATGTAACCTCTTTGTACAATGAGGCAATTTATAGTCATCTTTTACGCGTTATTTCGCGCCCTTACTGTCATAGCCTTTCGCGAACCGTCTTGTTCTCTCTCGGATTGCTCATTCTGATTCAATTGTAGTGAACTGAACATCGCTTGGTTGCGCTTGCAACTAGTGGCCTCGTCATCAGTCGGCGTACATTTTTACTGCTCAACTAACCTGACTCTGCAATCGATACGTTTAATCATAGTAAAGAATTCATTCGCACCTGGTTAATAGATGTTACTCAACATGCATTGCCTGCAAAACTATCTTGTTCCCCTCTTACACCATATCCCGCATACATTCTCGTCTAAGCAGCCCAGCTTCTTCCGACCTTGTAGTCGTCAAATCAGTGTTCCACTGTTGTTCGACAGGACAGGATTCCTACACCACTGATTACGATCAATAACCTCACTACCGCACACTTACACCCCTATATAGAAATATCGATATTTGTAGATAATGTCTGTGGAAAAGTAAAACAGAACGTTGCCAAGAGATCTCCTTTCGACACTTTACATCAGGCAATTACAGCTACTGAGCTGATAAATGCAACTGTAACCTGGAGAAGGCAACAAATAAGGACGGATAGGACGGTTTGAACAGATTTAGCATGTTCGTTTGATGCTCAACTCGATTTAATCAGGTGACATCGTGATAGGGCTAACAGAAAGCAAAACAACTTGTGTAAACAGAAGAGGCAACAATACTAATTATCTAATTTTTATGTTCGTATTTTTGCCTCTTCTGTTTACACAAGTTGTTTTGCTGTCTGTTAGCCCTATCACGATGTCACCTGATTAAATCGATTTGAGCATCGAACGAACATGCTAAATCTGTTCAAACCGTCCCATCCGTCCCTACTTGTTGCCTCCCCCAGTTTACTGTTGCATTTATCAGTCATGTAGCTGTAATTGCCTGATGTGAACTACCGAAAAGCGATCTCTTCGCAACGCTGTGTTTTAAATGTCGATATGTCTACTCTGCATGCGCCGATTCATCACTTACCTACCGGATTATTTATATCTCACCACATCGCCGATTGGGCATGCGAGACCTGTTCGCACTCAGTCACCTTCCATCACCCTGTTGCGGTTCCGCTTACAGAAACGTAGGCTCCCAAGCTTCAGTTCACAAAGAATGAAATTTGTGTTATCGCGCGCGGGCTGAGTATACCGCGAGGACGCCCACCCCTACGCGGATTCGAACCGGTGACCTTATGGCTGGAAAGCAAACCTGCCAACCACTCGGCCACCGGCCGATGCACACTCGTTTCTGGCGGCAGGAGATAAAGGTGCTTACCACCATCGTAGATGCTGGTGGCCCTTCTCGTGTCCACACGGGTCCATGAGCCTACTTTGTGCTTATCTCTAGATGTTGCGGTACGTGACACTCATGATTCACATCAGTGGATCGTGTGCAATCGTCTCTCAATCGGACCACCTGTGAAAACTATGTTTGCACTCAGTCATCTGTGGATTGAACCTGACTATGATGTTTAGCTGTGCAAACCTGTCATCCTGTTTTTGCACCATACCCAGCCGTTTGTGGCCCTGCGTCATTCGCAGGTTATATGTATCTTGACCCAGAGTCTTTGCTTAAAACATTTAGGTCTTCCGTCATGCTTCCTCTTCCCAACTTTTGTTATTATTCTTCGTTAATGCATGGTTCTTGTGTTCTTATTGTGGCCAAAAGTCAGTACAAACTACCAACTTGTTGCTGATGCTACCATTATTATTACGACTATTCACTCGATGGTACCTTCCTTAGATGCTTTCATCTGAGTCTCCCAGGCTTTCCGTTCGGGCAGGTTTGTATCCCATCCCCTTTCGCTGACTCTGTGGTATTCTTCGGCCCACTGAACTCACGAAGTTACTCATACTCCTCCAGCTCGCTACCTGTATGCATCAGTTCGAGTAAATTTGTCTGCCTTGACACACACCCATCAGTGCATACAGGTCACCTTTTGATCATTACAATACAACGCGGAGCGGCACAAGCAGACAGGTTGTTTCTGGTGCGGACATGCGAAAACTTGATTTGCGCAGTGTTGCTGTTGGTCGTTTATCTGGTCAATAAGCCTATCACGGGCTGAACCAGATTAACCATGCTTCTCTGTGAATCATCCGAGATTGTTGACTCCTGGCACACAGCAGCCGATGAGGAGACTCACCACTTCAGTCAGACAACTGTTACACATCTGGAGAGACACCTCTTGTTCGCTTCTTCTTTCTAACTCCCTTCTCAATGGTGTACTTTCCCAACAATATTAAATCTTCATGTTCCTCTTTTTGGAAAGCACCGTCTGTTGTCACTTTTCATTAAATCAGAGAGAGAACATCTGTCGCGATGTCAACATTTCGATTGTTCCCATCGGTCGCAGATATAACACAAGCAGAATTAGTACACGTTTTTCGCAAGATTATATATGTGAAATACCTGGTAGTACCAATAAATATGTCATAATCAAGACCACCGTAAGCTAATTGGTTGTCTCAAGAGTTTCCGTGCACATAACACAGATTGACCTGCTCTAATTAGCAGCACGTCGCTGATCGCCAGCATTATCCGGTTTTTGTTGCGTAATAACTTCTTGAGCGCGGTCCCCCGGGTTTACACAATGGTGATGGGTTCCGGTTCACCCTAAGATCCGTTCTGTTTTGTTACCTCATTATTTGTCTCCATCACTACGGCAGCTGTTCATCTACCCTCCGAAAACCGATGGTCATTCTGCTTGACGGCATCCGGTTCCCGATTTTTCGTATCACTATGGCCTCCATACGACAGCCACAGGACGCCTGCGCCTACAGAGGGCCCATAGGTGGCTTGCGCTGCACCACCCACAACTCTACCCACACACCCCATGTCCAGTGTAAACCCGAAGGAATAAGACCGGGAGGCATGTGGAGGGGAGCCACGTTTCATCAACGGAGCCGGCCCACACTCCTTCACAGGCAAACACAAGCACGCTGTAGTTGGGAATCACTCGCACACTGGTCGGACCGTAGTCCGCTTCACACTGAGTGCATGGAACCACTCTTTGAGTCTAACACGGCCACAAGAACCGTGCACCCCGTCCCCTCCAGCAACCACCAACTGTCTTCAGGAGCCAGTATGGACGGGGTAGTGGGTAATATACATGTGGGCACCTTGTCAACATGCACACCAAGCTCAGTCACACCGGGGATGTCAAACAACAGCCGATCACTTGAACTGAGAATAACAATTTATATATCGATCAAATCATACGGAAATGCTGGCTTAAATCTACACTAAATGAGCATATGTGATAAATTGATTATAAACAAATCCGCGATAAGCGCAATGGTGTCCGAAAATATATTATTTTTTAGAGATACCACGAACGCGGAAATCTTAGGGAACTTAACCACAATTAGCTAAACGACGTGTGCAAGTTACTAGATTACTCAAATCAACGTTAAGATGAGGTAAAAAACGCATTGAAGCACGAAAGCAAACCCACCACCTAAAATAAAGAAACAGCACTCAATCACACTGTTAGTAAATCGAATTCAGCATACCTACAAACGCTGCGCCTATTCTGCCTACGTTCTCAGCAAGACCCGTCATCGTTTCGATGCTGATCCCAAGTGGCCTCGCTCATGGCTCACTGGACCTTCCTGACTCAGGCACTTGCGACCGCATGTACTACAGCACCATGAGCTCGATGTCGATGGAGTACAACTCATTGGCGCCTGTCGCTTCCGCAACTGCCGCTTCTTCTCTGCATGCACGAGGGCTTTCTCTCGCACCTTGGCAACAGCCTTCGTGATCAGATCGCGCCATGCACGCCGATCAACCGCCTTCGATTCCCGTGACCTGCAATCAGTATTAGAACGTGATAGACTCATTTTGATCATGTGTTGGTAACGAAGCCTCGGTTTCCCCACATTCCGCTTCCCCACACTCATCTGACCATACAGCATCTGTTCCAGTATCCGCGTCGAATCCATACGCCACACATGACCGAGCCACCTCAAGTGTCTCAGCAACTGTCTACAGTCCACTGCATACATTCCACTTTGACGCAGCACCTCCGTGTCTGAAACTCTGTCACACCAACCGATGCGCTGAATCCGTCGCAGACACTGTTGATGAAACCGATCGAGATATCTCATATCTCGCCGATACCTCGTCCACGTTTCGCTGCCGTTTAGGAGAACGGACAGCACCATGGATTTGTACATTATCAGCTTCGTGCCAACGGTAAGCTGGTGGTTGTTCAACACCCGGTACTCAAGCTTCCCGAATGCCGCCGCTGCCTTAGAGCAGCGGATACGCAGCTCACGGTGTATTTGCTAGTCAGTCGAAACCACGCTCCCCGGGTAACAGAAGCGGGAGGTGGTTTTCAATACTTCAACACCAATGTTGTTTCGCGGCACCATTACAGATTGCACCTCCGGTGAAGGCTGAAATAAACAGAGGGGTTTACATGTGTTGGTGGGGAGTTGGAATTTGGCCGCTGTCGAAGCCAGGGCACTAGTCATGTGCTGCAACTCATCCGCGCTGTGTGCAAACAACACACAGTGGTCTGCAAACAGAAGCATACGGATAGTTGTCTCACAGTCTGGGGCTCTCACACCGAAACGACGAATGTTCAGCAACCCACCATCAATACAGTACTCCACACGAACACCATAAGCACAAGCGGCATCAAAAGTACAAGACCTCATGGCATGAAGATATATATTAAACAGGGTAGGAGCTAAGACACAGCCTTGCTTCACACCAGAGACAACTGCAAAGTCATTCGAGGTTTGTCCACTCAGATGCACCCTCGCCCGCATACCAATGTGCAGACATTCGATTAAACTTATAAACTTCCTCG